GTTGTGGCAGGCACCTATAGTCCCAGCTACTCAGGAGGCTGAGGCAAGAGAATCACCTAACCCCAGGAGTTGGAGGTTGCTGTGAGCTGTGTGACGCCATGGCACTCTACCGAGGGCAATACAGCAAGACTCCATCTTTACAAAAAATAAAAAGAAAAGAAAAAGCTTCTTGAGTAAGATAACAGATAATGAGGAAAACATTGCACATAACCAAAGCAGGAGACTAGAAAGTCAGTTCTTATTGCACTTTTCTTCTCTTTGTCCATTGCTCCTATTGTTTCCCCAGTAAAATATAGAGACTTTTTCTTATCTGGAGCCAGATACTAAAGACTTGCATAAGATTTATGATGTCTCTCTCTGGGCCTCAGTTTTCTTATCTATGAAATGAAGATGGAGGGCACTTCCTGCTTTTCTGTGGTCGTATGGTTACATATCCCTAAAGCTTTTAGAATATAAATAACTGGTGATTTAGAGAAACATTAGAACAAAACATGGAGTCATTTGAGCTTCCTGGGGCTGAGGAATCATCCATGTACACTATGATTCTTTTAAACAAGTTCTGTCAGTATTGAATTTTTTCTTTCCCCAAGAGCTCTGTAAAAATAGTCTTTTCATGCCAGAGACATCAAGGCCTCAGAACTACTGACCTCCTTCTGTGAACATATTATATGGTTTGTGTTTGGCTTAGGATCTTTTTACCAGACCATCCAGCTCCAATCAGAGAGGCTGACTCAGCAGAACTCCTTCAACCCCCCTTCTGAGGGTTAGAGCGCCCCTCCCCTGCCAGTCCAGGGCAGGCTGGGGCTGTTGCTGGCCCTGTTCCCCTGTTGGTGCCGACAGGGAAGGGACACTAGAGCATTGATTCCTTCTGTTCTCCTAGGTCCGATACTGCCAAGTGCCACTTATTCCGAGAAATCCAGACAGTTTCCTGTAGATGTTTTCCGGAGCGTGTCCTCAGTTCTCATCAGTTCTCAGGGCTTGAGCTAAAGGGGTGTCTAAGTTTTATTTATGGCCTAGTCAGGGACCACATTGGTTCTCTCAGTAAAGTCTATCTCCCCTTTGCCTGTTATCTACACAGTCCCCACGTCACCCTGTTAACATCTGGTCTGCCCCTAGAGTTTGCCAGAGATCTCTTTTCCCTTTATTGAAATCTCAACATAATCCCAAAGGTTTTAGGAGGGTAAGAGTCTACATACACACATTTTGAAAAAAAAATTTTTTTTTGAGACAGAGCCTCAAGCTGTCCCCCTGGGTAGAGTGCTGTGCCATCACAGCTCACAGCAACCTCCAACTCCTGGGCTCAAGCAAGTCTCCTGCCTCAGCCTTCTAAGTAGCTGGGACCACAGCTGCCCGCAACAACGCCCAGCTATTTTTTGGTTGCAGTCGTCATTGTTATTTGGCGGGCCCAGGCTGGATTTGAACCCACCACCTTAAGTGTATGTGGCTGGAGCCTTAGCCACTTGAGCCATAGGCGGCGAGCCTGAAATGTTTTATCATGGAAAATTTTGAATATATTCTAAGTAGAAAAGACAGTATGATAAACCCAATGTACCTGTGCCCCAGCTTCACTGATCTTGTTTAATGGACACCCGCCTCCACTCCTCCCACCCCTAGATTATTCTGAAGCAAATCTCACTTGTCATTCCATTTCTACTTTCCTTTTTTATTTTTTGCAGTTTTTGGCCAGGGCTGGGTTTGAACCCACCACCTCCGGCATATGGGGCCAGTGCCCTACTCCTTTGAGCCACAGGCGCCACCTTTTTTTTTTTTTTTTTTTTTTTTTGAGGCAGAGTTTCACTATGTCGCCCTGCATAGAGTGCTATGGCATCACAGCTCACAGAAATCTCAGACTCTTGGGTGTAAGTGATTCTCTTCCTTCAACCTCCCAAGTAGCTGGTACTACAGACACCCACCACAGTGCCCAACTATTTTTTTGTTATTGTCGTCGTTAGCAGGCCCTGGCTGGGTTCAAACCCATCAGCCCCAGTACATGTGGCTGGTGCCCTAACCACTCAGCTACGAGCACCAAGCCTCTACTTTCCTTTCTAAAGAATCCCAAACTCAGCTCAGGGCCCGTAGCACAGTAGTTACAGTGCCAGCCACATACACCGAGTGTGGCAGATTTGAACCCAGCCTGGGCCAGCTAAACAGCAATGACAACTGCAACAAAAAATAGCTGGGCATTATGGCAGGTGCCTGTAGTCCTAGCTACTTGGGAGGCTGAGGCAATAGAATCACTTAAGCCCATGAGCCTGAAGTTGCTGTGAGCTGTGACATAACGGCACTCTACTAAGGGCAACACAGTGAGACTCTGTCTCAAAAAAAGAAGAATCTCAAACTCCTCCCAATTTACACAAGAGAAAGGTATATATTAATTCTCTTCCAGGTTTCATTTCATTTATCCCAGTCAGATCTTCCATGCTCCCCATCTGCTTGGAAGGCAATGTCCCTCTTCTGTTCTCCTGCAATCCTCTGCTGGGGGAACAGGTGACAGAAAAATAGGATCCTCATTCATCTGCCAAATAGGATCCTCATTCATCTTCCCAGCTGGCAGCTTAGCTGGGAAAGGAAGGTTGTTTGGGGCGGCACCTATGGCTCAGTGAGTAGGGCACCGGCCCCGTATACCAAGGGTGGTAGGTTTGAACCCGCAACAACAACAACAACAAAAAAGATAGGAGGGTGTTTGAACATGATGAGGCAGGTAGGAAAAGGAAAGGGCTTGAGTTACTCTTTACTTTCAAGAATACGGTGAGCAAGGCTAGGCACCGCCTGTAATCCCAGCACTCTGGGAAGCTGAAGCAGGTGGATTGCTTGAGCTCAGGAGTTTGAGACCAGCCTGAACAAGAGTGAGACCCCATCTCTACTAAAAATAGAAAAATTAGCCAGTCATTGTGGTGGGCATTGTGGGCATTTTCAGCTACTTGGAAAGCTTAGGCAAGAGGATCACTTGAACCCGGGCATTTGACACTGCTATGAGCTAGGCTAGCACCACAGCTCACAGCACTCTAGCCTGAGCAGCAGAGTGAGACTCTGTCTCAAAAATAAAACAAAATTTAAAAAATAAATCCTTTCCCTGTCCTGTCTCCATTTCAGATGCAGTGGCAGAACGTGGAACATGTTGGTGACCAGAGCCCCTACGTCACCTCTGTCATTCTTCACATTAAGCAGAACGTCCCCATCATCCGTGACAATCTGGCTTCCACACGGAAGTACTTCACTCAGTTCTGCATTAAATTTGCAAAGTAAGTTCTGGAGCATTTTCATCACCGAGTCGACTTTACGTTTTAGAGCATTTTTACATTCACAGACAAACTGAGCAGAAGGCACTAAAATATCCCGTATACACCCGTCCCCCCCCACACACAGTCTTCCTGTTGTCAGCACCCCCCACCTGAGTGGTACTTGATAAATCCACATTGACAACATCATTATCACCCACAGTCCCCATTCACATTAAGGCTCACCCTCGGTGTTATACAGCCTACGGATTTGGACAAGTGTATAATGACATGTGTCTACCATTTTAATACCATACTCAGCTGGACTATTTTTAATGCCTTCCCTTTTCCCCAGCTTGCTCACGATTCAGGTGTTCTTACCATCCAGCTGGGGCACATTCTGGTGCCTGCAGGCAAACTAATTTTAATTTGTACCCAAAAGAAGCATAATAATAAAACTAAATCTGCTACTTAAAGTCACAGATGACAGTAATAGCAATACAGTCGTCAACAATGTCAAGGCAAGCTAAAATAGGGGGCATCCTGTCATTTTGTCACCATTAGATCAGTGGTTCTCAACCTTCCTAAAGCCATAGCCCTTTAATATAGTTCCTGTGGGTCACAACCCAGAGGTTGAGAACCACTGAATTCGATGGACCTAAGCACCCCTTGCCCAGGTTGGGATAATTAAAATTATTATTATTATTTTAGAGACAGAATCTCACTTTGTCACCCTTGGTAAAGTGCCATGGCATCACAGCTCACAGCAACCTCCAGCTCCTGGGCTTAGGCAATTCTCTTGCCTCAGCCTCCCGAGGGAAGTGCCTGCTACAACGCCCGGCTATTTTTTTGTTGCTCTTTGGCTGGAGCCAGGTTCAAACCCGCCACCCTCAGTACATGGGGCTGGGGCCCTACTCACTGAGCCACAGACGCTGCCCTAATTAAAATTATTTTTTATATGCATGTTGTCTCCTTAAGAGTAGAAACCATCAGTTCTGTCTCTTCCGAACTTTCTCTTCCTCCCTCCCCATAGTATGTATCATGTACATGGCTGCTAGGATTTATCCGCTGGTAGGCATTCCTGGGTCCAGGGAAAGTATGAGAAATGGGGCTGAGCAAGTCAGGGAGCTCCACTGCTCTAGGAGATGGAGTGCACACCACATGTCTCTTGCCACATCCTTGTGTGTGGCTTTCATTTTGAAGCAAGGGAACAGTTTGGTCCTTTGCCAGTCAGCATCTGGCTGTGGCACTGGCTCCCATGAGACCAGGTGATATAGAAGGTCACTATCTTCTCTAACCAATTATCAAATGAGCGTGTTGGCAGCCTGCTCAGGAAAGGGCCTCAAGAAGGTCATCCCCAACCACGCTACTGCATTTGGGTTAGTCTCATCCAGGTCCCAAATGGTGATTCAGGACTCCAAGTTTCTGTCTTCCCCAAATCTCTCCCAGTTTGTGTTCAATTAGGGCTTTGCCTTTCCCTCATAAATAAATCCCTGAGGAGCCACAATTATGGAATGGCTTCTAGTGTTAACTTGAGTTTCTAGTTTGTCAAGAAAGGATAGAGTGGACTCTCCAGGGAGGCATTAATGTTTGCAGTAAGGCAGATGGACCAGGAGTTGAAATTCCCTTCACTCTCTGGGTGCTCATTACTGTGTGTTAGAAGCATTGCTGATAAATCACCTGGTGACACCCCCCCCCCCCGAATGGCTTATAGAAGTAGCGTCTGTGTAAAAATTTACTATGACTGAAACTCTCTAGTGTGGTTGCTCAGGGGTCTAGTTGAGCTTACGTGAAAGTGAACAAGAAGTCCATTGACTTAGCTAGTGCCTACATCAGCCTCACATTCTCTCACGGCCCTTTAACTTTATTACTAAGTCCTTATCGAGTGAAGTGGGAATAGGATGCCCATCTCTTACATCTGGAAAAGTTCAACTTATGATCTAGAAAGTAGTTTTTGGTTTAATCCATGGTACCCTCTCATCCTTGTAAAATCCCAGCCAGCGGTTAGAAACCTCAGAAATGGGAGTTATAAAGAATCCCAGCCAAGCACAGTAGCCACCACCATCATGATGGCCCAGAGAAGCCCTTGGCAGTTACCCAGCACATCTCGGGAACTTCACCTCCAAAGGCGCATATCTGGTCTCCCTCCTCCCCCCAGCCTAGTACATAGCCAGTTCAAGGACACCCCAAAGCTACTTTAGTGTGAAGTAGCTTAGGGTACAGAGTGTCTGTACAGTTGCAATTAGTTATAAATTCAGTCTCACATTACTTGTTGGGGCCTGATTTGCAGCACTAAAGAATCCCTTCCATGTAGTCCTATGTTGCACTTCCTCCTGATCAGCAGGCCTTCCCCTAGATCTGATCTCTGGACCTTTCCTTTCCCTCCCCACCATTGCCCAGCCATAGATGTTTCCTTTTGCCTTCTTTTGGGGTCTGAAGCAAGAGCAGCTTTTCCTGTTGAGACATCAAGATCCACCCCGTGGTCAAAACTGCGGTTTGAACCACAAGCAATTTCCCTCTTCCACTAAGCTGACTCTCTTCCATTCAGTTATGGAGATTATAAGACATTCTATGAGGAGTTGTTGGGAGGATAAAGTGACATGTAAACTTCTTGGTAAAGTGCTGGTACTGAGCTGACATTCAAAAAGTGATAGCTGCTGCTATTACTTAAACATTTATTATTTATTCAACATGCATTTACTTGAGCACCTCCTGTGTCCCACACACGAGAGTTAGGTGCTTTGGCTTAACAGATATGGGCCTGCATTCACTTGCCTTAATAGTCAAATGAAGAGAAACAGACACATATGTAATTAAGTTTGATAAAAGAGAGGCCTTTGGACTCTATATATAGCACGGTGGAGATGGCTGAGGAAAGGCGTCCTGGAAGAGACGTCCTTGCACAGGGCCGAGTGATGTGTGTGTACTGACCCACAGGCCCTAAGAAAAGGCATTCCAGGCAGAGGGAGCAGGATCAGGAGAGGCACAGAGACATTAAGTAACCAGCAGCATCATGGGATCCACAGGCAGCCCAGCGGATTGGAGCATAGCAAGCCAGGGCGTGGCATGATGCTGAAGACATAAAATCGAGACTCAAGGAAGCTATTAAGCCCCATTTTGGCTGTCTGCAGCCATTGTGAGAATTTTAGTCCGGGGAGGGACTTGATTTGATCGTATTTACATTTGAAATAAATGCCTTTGGCAGCAGATGGGTTAAAAGGGATAAGGCTCCAGGCACTCTACCCAGGGGGACAGCTTGAGGCTCTGTCTCAAAAAAAAAAAAAAAGGGATGAGGCTGAAGGTAGAGACCAGTTAGGAGACACTTGGAAGAGTTCCTCTGAGAATTGAGGAGGACAGTAGCCATTGGGACAGCCAGGCAGGGTGGATATGGGGATTCAGGAAAAGAGTTGATGACTGATTAGATTTGGTGGTTGAAAGTAAGGGAGCAGCCATGGGTAGCTCTTGGTTTCTTTCTTAGATGATTGGGTAGATGAGACCCAGTCCTGCATTCCAGGTAGGGCTAAGGTTGGATGTGCTAGGATTTCCATTAAGATATCCAGTGAGTCATTCGATATTAGAGTGGGTGCAAGTGTATAAGGGAAGATACTGAGAGATTGAAGAAGATGGAAGTTACTGGCCTTGGAGCAACATTTAAAGAGTGAGGACAGAAGTGTTTGGCAGCCTTAATCTAAACCTATAAGTTCTGCTTTATTTTCATCCTCTTTCCCTTGGTCATGGGCCTCTATTGCCTTGATTGTAGGCATTCCTAGTTTCTACATCTTCTGTTCTATACCAGTACAACCCAGCTTTCTTGACACAAGCCTCTACAGTGTTTTTTCTGAAAACTGTCCTCAGGCTGAGTGCAGTGGCTCACAACTGTAATCCTAGAACTCTGGAAGGCCAAGGCAGGTGGATTGCTTGATCTCAGGAGCTCTAAACCAGCCTTAGCAAGAGCAAAATAAAAAAACTAGGTAGGCATTGTGGCAGGCACCTGTAGTCCCAGCTACTCAGGAGACTGAGGCAAGAGGATCACATGAACCCAAGAGTTTGAGGTTGCTGTGAGTTGTGATGCCACTGCACTCTACCCAGGGTGACAGAGTGAGACTCTGTCTCCAAAGGAAAAAAAAAAGCCCTCCTGACCTATTCTAATTTCATTCTTTATTTCCTCTAGACCAGCATCACAGCCCACATGGTCTAGGTTATCCTTCAGACCCCAGTACTTTTTTAGAGGATCATGTATTTTGTTTCTTGATCTGACAATTACTTCCTTAGCAGTTATTTCCTGTTTAGGGCCTGTTTTAAGACCTGGTAACTACTTCCTGCATATTCTGTTTTTATATCCGTTCACATGTTTTCATCTACTAGTAATAGAACCCCAGACTTAAATGGCATGTGAGTTTTTTATTTCATCAATTAGAAATCCAGAGGTAAAACAGTTCTGAGAGTGGCTGATTTGATGGTTCAGCAATGTCACTGAAACATGTTCTTAGCTGGGTGAGGTGGCTCACACCTATAATACTAGCACTTAGGGAGGCTAAGGTGAGTGGATGGCTTGAGCTCTCAGGAGTTCAAGACCAGTCTGAGCAAGAGCAAGACTCACCTCTACTAAAAATAGGAAAATTAGTTGGGCATTGTGTTGGCTGCCTATAGTCCCAGCTACTCAGGAGGCTGAGACAAAAAGATCTCTTGAGCCCAAGAATTGGGGTTGCTGTGAGCTATGACAGCACAGCACTCTACTCTGGGTGACAGTGAAACTCTGTCTCAAAAAAAAAAGACCCAATTCTTTATCATGCTATACTGGGCCTGACTTTATCCTCAGAATGGTAGTGATATGGCAGTGCTAGCTTTTATATCCAAATGCAATAATAACCTAAGGTAGTAGTTCTCAACCTTCCTAATGCAATGTTGTATTTTCATTATTACAAAGGGGTCGAGACCCACAGGTTGAGAACTGCTGCCCTAAGGGAAGAAGGGAGAGTCTTGCCCCAGTCTCAGTGAAAGTCCTCCCCTCTGGCTCGGCGCCCTTAGCACAGTGGTTACAGCACCAGACACATACACCGAAGGTGGCAGGTTTGAACCTGGCCTGGGCCAGCTAAACAACTACAACTAAAAAATAGCCAGGCATTGTGGCAGATGCCTATAGTCCCAGCTACTTGGGAGGTTGAGGCAAGAGAATCACTTAAGCCCAAGAGTTTAAGGTTGCTGTGAGCTATGATGCCACGGCACTCTACTGCGGGTGACATAGTGAGACTCTGTCTCAAAAAAAAAAAAAGAAAGAAAGAAAGTCCTCCCCTCTAGTCTGATTGGGCCATCTTCTTAGATAATGTCCCTTTCCTAGGACCAAAAACAAACAGTCGCCAAGGGAATGCCATGCTCTGACTGTCTTAACAATAGCTAGAAATCATCTCCGAAGTTAAGGTTGGATAGGATCAACTTTTTCTTGGCCTATCAAGGCTTATGTTAGGCAATACCTAACAAAATTAGTGCTTGGGTTGGAAGAAAAAAGAAAGCAGTGGGCACTGGTGGGCAACAATAATGTCTACCTTGCTTGTCAGTTTTCTTACGGAAGTAAGTGAAACTTCAGAGAAAAGTTTCTGCAGTTCTTTACAGAAAAGAAAATGAGCCTAACTTGTCACTTCTTTTTTATCCACAGCTCTTTCATTCCTAAATTCATCACCCACCTCTTCAAGTGCAAGCCAATTAGCATGGTGGGAGCAGAACAGGTGAGATGAACTCCTGTAGAGCCCTTGCCTTGCAGTTTTTGTCAAGGATCAAACACATCCTTCTAGTACAGATCTGTTCTGGATAGTATTGATAGCCTGGCAACTTTCTTCTTTCTTTAATCCATTTATTTTTCAAAATTGTGTTTGAGCACCTGCTAAGTACCATGCTTCATTCTGGGTGCAAGGTTTGCCCAGTGAACATGACAGAGTAAGTCTCCCCTTCATGACACTCACATTCCAGTTGGAAGAGACAGATATTACACAAGTTAACAAATCAATTAGAAGATAATTTCCACTTTAGATGAGGATACTGAAGGTTGGAAAGCACGAGAGAGTATTAGCCTGATATTAGACAGTCACAAGAGGCTTCTCTGGGAGCTGAACTTGAGAGGACTAGGAGAAAATGTTCCAGACAGAGGGAACACGATGGTTCTTATTATTTTGGGTCCCTTAATGGCTGACACAGAGACCACTTTAGAGTAGCAAGCAAGGAAAGGCTTAGCTGTTGGGCACTGAGCAGCTCTGTTCATCTCACCCACGGAGTCCTCTTGATTAGTCCCACTCTGTTCACATGAATTCTGTGCTTTGGGATACTCCTCACAGTTTGTGGCACCTTAGCTGTGAAGTGAAGCCATCTCTTTTCAGCCACTACCTGTTTGCACTATCTGAAATTTGAGCAGTTTGAGTTCAAAGAGCAGTTTAAGCTACTTGAAAAAGAAGCCAATAATAATATTCAACTCCTAATTCTTCCAGAATACCCACTTTGATGCACACAACTTATATGCCAATCAAAGATGATTCTTATATATTCATTGAAATAATCCTCCCTAGACTTCAATCTGTCAGTGCCTAGAAAACATGTTTCAGTTACTTTTTATATTTGAAAGAACTCAAACTGTATTTTTAAGGAAAAAGGTTATATAATTCAAGACATTTCCACAAATCTCACTCTTCCACCAAAAGAGTTGACTTGATAGAGGCTCAGCTATTGCCCAGGGCCCTGCCACAGCACTGGCCCCTTGCTCCACTGGCCTGAGTCATGTCTTAGTTGATTGGCAAGTTGGCACATGCCACAGCTCATTGTGGGTCCCTCATGAAGAATCAGAGGAGGGGCTCTGCGCCTGTGGCTCAAGCGGCTAAGGCGCCAGCCACATACACCTAAGGTGGCGGGTTCGAATCCCCAGCCCAGGCCTGCCAAACAACACTGATGGCTGCAACCAAAAAATGGCCAGGTGTTGTGGTGGGCGCCTGTAGTCCCAGCTACTTGGGAGGCTGAGGCAGGAGACTCGCTTGAGCCCAGGAGTTAGAGGTTGCTGTGAGCGTGATGCCATGGCACTCTACCCAGGGGGATAGCTTGAGGCTCCGTCTCAAAAAAAAAAAAAGAATCAGAGGAGGATGTGTGGTCATCCCCTGATATCTGTGGGAGATTGGTTGTAGGACCCCATCGAGTAACAAAATCTGCAGATGACCAAGTCCCTGATAGGTAATAAAATGGCATAGTATTTGCATATAACCTACACACAGCCTCTCGCAGACTTTAAATCATCTCTAGGTTACTTATGCCTGATACAACACAAATGTTATGTAAATAGCTGTTAAACTGTGTTGTCTAGGGAATCCTGATGGAAAAATGTCTGTACATGTTCATTAGAGACACAATTTTTTCCCAAATATTTTTGATCTGCAGTTGGCTGAATCCATGGCTGTAGAATCCGTAGACACACAGGGCCAGCTGTATAGTACCTGTGCATAGCAAGATCTTTTGAATCTGGGAAGTGCAGTGTGTGTTCTGTTCTCCTCTGCTAAGTGAACAACCTTCCTAAGTTGTGAAAGGACGCAGTGGTCCAAGCTTTAAGGTCACATGCTGTAGAATCACAAAGCTGAGTTTTTTCTCTGCAGCCTGGCAACTGTTTTGGCCTGAGACAAGGTGCTTAAGCTCCAGCACTTCCTCACCTTTGAGAAGGGGATAATCATAGTCCTGCTTTACAGAGTTGTCATGAGGATTGAACAAGATAATGCACATGGAGTGCTTGGCACAAGTCTGGCTCATGTAAGCCCTCAGTAAATGCCAACTCTTCCTAATTTTAAGTTTTTTAAGACCAGGGCATGGCTTTGCTTTTGTCTTCATTCCCCCTTTCTCTAATATCTTCTCTACATCCAGGCTGCACAGTGGCATCTCCTCAGGACTTACTGCTGGCTGGCTGGCCAACCAGCTTTGGCTAGAGTCAAAAGTGTTCTCAGAACCTCCTGTGCAGTTATGTGGATTCAAACTCTGATGGCGCCTGACTATAACATTTCAGTGTTTTCAAATTCTGACCCTTGCATGTCATGAGCATGGAACTAATTCCCTCCACTGGAAACAGAGTAATGTCCTAACTTGTTTCATTAGCACATGTTCACTCAGAATTAATTCTATCCACCTCATTGTCATGTGTAATCAGAGTGGGTGTAGAATGATTAAGATCTATGGTCAGGCGTGGTGGCTCATGCCTGTAATCCTAGCACTCTGGGAGGCTGTGGTAGGAGGATCCCTTGAGCTCAGGAGTTTAAGACCAGCCTGAGCAAAAGCAAGACCCCATCTCTACTAAAATTATCAAAATATTAACCCAGCATTGTGGCAGGTGCCTATAGTCCCAGCTATTCAGTAGGCTGAGGCAAGATGATCACTTGAACCCAGGAATTTGAGGTTGCTGTGAGCTGGGCTGATGCTACAGCACACTAGCCTGGGGCAACAGGGTGAGACTCTGTCTCAAAAAAAAAAAAAGAAAGAAAAGAAAAAATCTATATATCTGGAAGAAGCTTCAGGGTTCTTACTATTTTTCTGGCTCTAAACTGGATGAAGCCACTGGGACACAAAGTTGACTCATTGGGAACATGTTTTCATGACTCTGCAGCTTTTCCCAGGCCTTGCTAACTGATTTAGTGTCTAATAACCATGACATTTTCATTTGTCACATAAATCTAATGTTGTATCTATTTTCCTAAGATTTTATTCTTCTTTAGAAGAATATTAGACTAATCAGCTCAGACCCAAAGCTAACATCTTCATAGAAATATCAGCTTGACCAGTGTTTACTTCCACCGTGATGTGGATGAGAAAACCATCTGTTGGGACTGGACTTTTACTTAATTGACCCCAGGCAAATACAAGCTAGGACTGCGGATTCAGCCTAGACTGGAGAAGGCGTGGGTAGGGTAGAAACCACAGGGCAGTGTGGTCCTTGAAGGATTCTTACATGAAATTCAGGTTTGGCTGGGTCCATGCTTGTCCTGAGTGTATAGGCCTTGAAACCCAAGCAGTCACGTAACTGTGGGCACGTTCACTCAGGCAGCAGAACCATAGGAATTAAGAAGTTGACAAGATGTTCAGAGACTGGAACAGATTCCGCCCCGAGTCATGGAGTGGCTGTAATCCAAGCTGTAACAAAAGCTGTGAAATTTAAAGCTAAAATTTAGCCTAATCTCAGCTGTGTCTGCTTTGCCACAAAGGTGCTAGATTCTAAATTTAGGTTAAGCTTTAATACTTATTCTGAAAAGGGAAAAGGAGACATTTTCCTGCTCTTTCTTCTGTTCCTGATTGCTATATAAAGTGAGTGATTTATCTTTGGGTCCCAGAGTCCTCTTGAGCAATTGCAAGGGCGCATGGAGCTGAACCATACTGGCATTTGTAATGCTTCTTGCTGGTTTGTAATTTTCAGAGACTCCTGTGGGATTTGCAGGGTCATTAATTAGTCTTATAGCTGTGGTCGTCTTATGAATGAGCGCACAGTAGAAATGGAATCCATGTGCCCAAACTTCCCGTAGAGAAAGCAGCACGGTGCAGGGTAGGAAAAGGAGACTTGGGGTCCAGTGCCCACGCCCTTGTTAATAGTCTCTGTGGTCACAAACAGTTGCTTCCCTGTTCTGAGCTCCATTTCCTCATGTTTAACTGAGAGCACTGAATCAGACATTCTCAAAAGCCCCTTCCAGAGCAATTAATGATGGAGTCTAAAGGACTTTGAGCAATATATTGCATGTCTATGAAGTTATCATCTTTCTCTTTCTGTTATTTTTATATACTATATTGACTTTTTAAAATTGTGGTAAAATACACAAAATGTAAAATTTACGGTTGTAGCCATGTTTAAGTGTACAGTTCAGTGGCAGTAAGTACTTGCACTTGGTGAGCAGCCATCAGCGCCATCACCTCCAAGACTTTTTTTTTTTTCTTTTCAAGACAGAGTCTTGCCCTGTCACCCACACTAGAGTGCAGTGATGTCAACCTAGTTCACTGCAACCTCCAACTCCTGGGCTCAAGTGATCCTCCTGTATCAGCCTCCCAAGTAGCTGGGACTACAGGCGCCCACCTGCTATCATACCCACATTATTTTTTTTTATTTTTAGTACAAATGGGATCTCACTCTTGCTCAGCCTGGTCTCAAACTCCTGACCTCGAATGATCCTCCCACCTCAGTCTCCCAGAGTACTAGGATTATAGGCACGAGCCACCACACCTGGCCTCTAGACCTTTTTCATCTTTCCCACCTAAAGCTCTATAACCATTAAACAATAACTCCTCATTCTTCCTCCCCAGCCCCTGGCAACTATGTCCTACATAGTTCTGTCTCTGTGAATTTGACTGCTCTGTAGGTAGAATTATACAGTATTTGTCTGTTGTATTTGGCTTATTTCACTGAACATGACGTCTTCAAGGTTCATCCATGTTGTGTCATGTGCCAGAAATTCTTATCCTTTTTAAAGCTGAATAATAGCCCATCATATGGATTACCATATTATAACCCTATTGACTTCTTTTTTTTTTTTTAGAGACAGTCTTACTTTGTCGCCCTCAGTAGAGGGCTGTGGCATCACAGTTCACAGCAACCTCAACTCCTGGGCTTAGGTGATTCTCTTGCCTTAGCCTCCCAAGTAGCTAGGACTACAGGCACCTGCCACAACGCTCAGCTATTTTTTTGTTGCAGTTTGACTGGGGCTGGGTTTGAATCCACCACGCTCAGTAT